CTAAGCCCCAAAATCGCAACCATAATCGCATCGGTCTTCAGACGCTTCCAGACAACCATCACTGGTCTCGCAGTCATGTCATCCGCCGTCGAACCCACGCTCGCCCTCAACAACAACAACACCGGCTCACAGCCCGACGACAGCCCATCGCTGGCCACCGCCGCTAAGGTATGTGTGGGTCCGCCACCCGAGAGACACCCCCTAAAGCCCGCCAAACGGGTGTTGTGTGTGTTTTGAGCGGCAAAAGGCGCCCAACAGTGCCGTGTGTTGCGGGCCGTGGACTGGGATGTGGTGTCTGTCCTCTATGTGTGTCATGTATGGTATGGTGTGTGCAATGAGTGCCCCAATTGTGTGCGCAATGAGTAAATTGTAATATAGATGAGCCGTATGTGTAGTGTATGTGACAGCCATTGCCTATGCGTTCAATAGTGTTGTGCATTGAAAGCAGTGTTTTATTCAATAGCTTTGTATAACATGGCGTCCGATATGTGTTCGGCGCTTAAACTCTCTCACAGTCTCTCCCCTACACTCTCTCTCTCGCACTCCCTCTCCCATACTCTCTCCCATACGCTCTCTCGCTGGCACTCAAAAGCCGATACACACTGTACTCACAACACCATTGACAACACCCGCCCTTCCCATTGGCCCAACACCACAGCCAATGAGCGCTCGCCAAACAATAGCCATAACCAAAACACAGTCACATCAATGATGTCTTCATCTAATTGTGTGCCTTTTGTTTGCGCTTTTGAGCGCTTTATTTGAATTTTGTTTGTAATTTTGACACATGTTTTGTCCCGAAAGGCGGTAACCAATCAAAACTCAGTGATTAAAGACAACGGCACTGAAGAGGCGGAGGAAAGTACGCCCGCGAAGAAGATTAAACTGTCAAACGATGTCAACGTAAGCCCTCTCTGACCACTGTTTTGTGTCAATACATTAACACTAATTATAATACCGTTATTCACACCACAGGACGAGCCGAAGGCAGCGGTTACGCCGGCGCCGACCTCTACGGGAAGACCCGGACGGCCGTCGAAACGGCTGAACATATTGGAGAAGACGGCCAAAGAGGGCGAGGCTTTGCTCCACAATTTGGGCCATAAGGCCGGTGAGGACAGCGCCGAAGGGAATCGACGAACGACGCGATCGCAAACACGGGGAACACCGCCGGCGGCGGCGCCCACACCCACCAAGAAAGCGGCCACTCCTAAGTCACCCTCAAAGGTATAGCCAATGATTAGCCTGTGGTATGCCTTACACTGATTTTGTGACCACTTTTTTAGGACAATTCGAGTTCGGGAACACCTAAACGAAGAGGTCGTCCGCCGAAGAACTCTGTGTCGAGTAATAATTCGGTGGAAGAGAAGAGCGAAGTGGACGCCAGCGCCGACTCGAAGGCCGAGAGCAATGAAGTGACAAACGAGACGACGAAGTCTTCGCCGAAGAAGACAACTGCCGTTAATAACAGTAACGAAACAAATAATAATACAAACGACTCGTCGGCCACTCCTTCGAGCGAATCCGATGCGAAATCACCGGAAGTGGAGCCCAAAGCCGGCGGCGAAGAGGCCGTCGCCAAAGCCTCCGAACAAACGAAAGACTTATCAGCAAATGATGTGACGAAAGCCAACTCTATATCAGAAGATACCTCAAAACCAGTTCCGGTTTTAGAGACAACACAACCCCCGCCCCAGACATCGGAATAATTGTAAGTTTTGGACACTTTGTTTGAAACCATCAAATGTCGAGTCATTCCTTATAATGGCTTTGATTTGCCGATTATATCACTCTTTTGATAGTTTCTGTATTTTCGTTGATTTATTGTTTTATTCAATGTTTGCCTTTTGTTTCGTAGATAAAGAATGTGTGCAACTCTTCGACTCAAATATTTTCATCATTTTTCCCACATTTTTAATTATAATTCAAACAACAATTCAATGTCTTTTAAACGAAATTCATGTTTTAATTGCGAACACAAACACTTTATAACCAATTTTATTTAAAGTTAATATTAATTATTTTCATTCATTCATAAAATACACTTAAAAATACATAATTAGAGGATAAAACCGAACTCGAGTTTTAATTATTATTATTATAACAGCAGAGCTTGAAATGACGTTTAAATTGACTAATGATTTAGTTGTTTATGATTTGATTTGTGGTTTAATTTTGTTTGAATACATCATTACATTTACCGCACAATTATAATGAAACGCGATTCACATAACACTTCACAAACACGTTGTCTCTCTTTCTCTCCCCCTCTCTATCTCTTCTCTAATACTAAATAACTCTTCATTTGACTATATTTTGGACGAAAAGCTATCGACTGAATGACAATTTGTATCGACATTTTGTAAGATAATTCTCAAACACACGACTAATTACTTTTAATTATTTTTCCATTTAAAAACATTATTTTCAAAGTTACCTTTATTTCAATTTTCAATGTATAAACAGTTTTTTAAAATAATATAAATTTATGTCTATAAAAAACTAACGATTTTGTGCTAATAATAGTTATAAAACATAACAAAAATAATTGTTTTTATTTTTTTCATAAATTCATTGAGAAAAGTGTATCGAAAATTTGTCGCCTATTTTTAGCATTCATTTTGATTTTGAATTTAAATTGATTTGTTTTTTTTGTTATTGAAATTTGAAATGAATTTCTTTTTGTAACCGCAAAATGATTGACAATTTTGTTTTATTACAATTGTTTTACAGAATATTCATTATTCATATTTACTGTACAGTTATCTCACATAAAACATAAGAAATAACATTAAAAATATTAATACTTTATAATTATATATTCTTTAGTTGTTTAAGAGTTTTATATTTTGAACAAAACGACAGAATTGTGTACAAAAAAAGCGCATATATTTTGTGTGTGTTTTCTCTCAGACCTCTCAGACATTTGGTGCAAGGATTTAGATATCAAACAAATTGATTGATTTAAGAAAATACTATTTATAGATATATATTGTATAAGAAATATATATTGAGCTCTAAATATTGTATATTATATGATAAATGAGTTAATTTTATAATCGATTTTCTTTTCTAATCACTTAATAGTCTTATTATTACTATTTGTTTGCTTTTCACTCTCTTTATTGTCATTTAATTTAATACATGTTTTATTGTTTTGTTTTTCGCATTTATTATGATTACGATTCAAATTGATTCCTGACTTTCGACAAACAAAACACAAACTTATTATTTGTAAAACATTTTTTAAAACACTTTGAAATCCATAATAATATGTGTCGTTAAGTAATGTTAGGCAACAGAATAATACACTAAGAAGTGAATGTGTTTTACGTTTTTTGACAAACAAATGCATTTGTTTTGAATCGTGTTGTGCTTTCAATGCTATCCATTAAAGACAAACTTTAAACTAACGAAAAACAAATTAATATTATTTATAATAATCTATATTTTGTTGTTATGTTCTCAATGGCCACACATTTGATCGCCCCATAGCTATAGAAATAATATAACGGTTAATAATATACAAGAAAAAACATAATTATAAATATATTTCAAAAATCAAATCATGCATTCATACGACAACACAATTTGTTTCATTACATAAACACCGAATCCGATCGTCAGTGCCATACGAGCCATGATTTCTATATGAATTCAATTTGAAAAACAATTTAATTGATTGAAATGACAAATGATTTGTTTGTATTTAATTTTTCCACCCATTCTTCTCTCTATCTCTTTCTCATTAGTCGATCGTATGATTGAATTTCAATCTCAAGTCTGCATTAATTGATGTAATTTTTAAAAAACAAATCTATTGACAAACAAATAAAGATATTTCACTATTTTAGTGATTTTAAAACCTAACGTCTCGTTATTTATGCTATAATTAAACTAAATAATGAATTCACTATTGATTACTATATCGTCAAAACGATGTGAATATGTTTTACTGCAAAACTGAGATTCCTATCAGAATTAGTAATATTGGGATGAGAGCCACTCGTGTTGGACTACCTGTTCGCTGGACAGCCTCTGGTTTGGGTCGGTGTGAGTCATGGCGTGCAAGAGCTCAATGAGCGGGTGTTGGGCCGCAAAACGCCGTCGTTTGACGAGTTCATCGTTGATCCACTCGCCGGCGTTCAGACCCGGACTCGACGCCAATCGACTCACTTGTCGCGGATTTTGCAGACCAATGAGACTTCGGGCCAGCGTTACGCCCAACGAGTAGACGTCACACTTGACTACTTGTACGGACACCGGGTAACCGATTCGGCCCCAGAAATAATTGCTAACACTGCGGATTTCTGGCGCCATATACAGGAAAGTGCCGCCCCTTTTGGTGCTCTCCATCACCTCATCCGTGGCGAACATCTGCGCGATCCCGAAGTCGCCCAACAAATAGACTTTGCGTCCGTAGACCTCTTTGTAGAGCACATTCTCAGGCTTTATATCCATATGCGCGACACGATTCGCGTGCAGGTAATGCACGGCCGGCGCTATTTGCGAGAACCAATCAAACGCCTGGTCTTCGCCGAAGAGGCCGGTCCTCAACTCGTCGGTAAGATCTCCGGCGCATAACTCCATGAATACAAACACAAAGAGCGACTGAAAGCCGGTGCTCTGGTCGCGGACATTGATCATCGACTCAATCTTCATGATGTGCTCGAAGTCCAGGTTTCGCATTATAGTCACCTCCCGGAGCATTGTGTTGAGCGCGGCCTTTAGATTAAGACCCGTGTCTTTATAGGCACTGATGGTCAACACTTTACAGGCGAGGTTTCGGTGTTGATGGGTGTCAAACACTTTCCACACCTCTCCATACGAGCCCTGACCCAACTTCTGGGTAAACTCTAAGCCCATGGCCTGTAATTTGGGCATATCTTCGTGCCATTTGCGGCTCAAGTCTAGTGGCGGCCACTCATCCGGATAGTAGTCCT